GGTCTCTTTCGGATTGATAGTTCAGCTCTGCTTTGGTATGCCTTCGCTTTTGATGGTTCTTTTTCTCTGGTTCATCATTCTTTGATATTCTTTGATGCTCTTTTCTTTTTCTTATTTTAGTTTTTCCAACACTCCAGCGCTTGCGGCGCTCGCAGCACTTAGCCTTGATGGCATCACACCGGGGCGGATGTGTAAGTCCTGCGAACCGAGTTCGGAGATGTCTGGAGTCCACATGAATCGAGGATCAATTCGGATTTCGACCCCAAAAGCGCTGGCCACGATCTAGTATGGTCACAACAGCCACCAAGGTCTCAGAGCACCAAAGCCAAACACAGACCTACTCCTTGCAAACTGGCCAAAATCAAGACCAAACCATGCAGGTGTTCAGTGTGCATTCCTTCCTGAATTTTATCTTCTGTGGTCTTGTGCGCCTGTGCAAACTCACCATGTCCACAATGTCCCGCTTCGTTTCCGTTAACACCCCTGAGCTACCCTGGAAGCTACCGCCGTCCGTGCTGCTCTGGGCGGCATCAATTGCGTTGTGCATCAAAAGAAGGTAAGGGCCAGGGGGCCTTCTGTTGAAGGCCTCCGCCATTAGGTTGGAGGCTGTCGCTATTGGAGGCCATCGCTATTAAAGGTTGGTGCTAGTATTTTTTGAGTGCTGCTATTTTGAGCATTCCCATCTATTGACCCTTTGTGCTCATCGCAGCTGGTGCACGTCCATGCTTAGAGTTCTCCTTTTGCGCATGTCCAGCATTCGTCGCTTGAACCCCATCGCTTTGCCGTGTCAGTTGATACGGTGCTCGTGACGTTCTTGGGTACAGCGTTCGCTGCGGCACATAAAAGAGCTGGCACATGCTACCAGCGCCCATAGCTTAGACCCTGTGGACCTCTCGTTTCCATCGAGCTGATGGAGACGCTATAGACCCTGTATGATGTTCTCTCTGACATCCGGCGTTTCTGCCGCCCGGGAGTCGAAGGCTCTCGTTAGCTCGGACCATCCACCGAGACCTCATGTGACCTCTGATCGAACCACAAAGACAGCCCACCCTGCCTAAATCAATTGGTCAGGCTTTACATAAAGACTTTACAAGTGCATCGCTTCTAGTAACAAGTGCCTTACTACTAGTAACAATGTTTGCTAGTAGATAAATAGAAAGTCCTGGGGGTGGGGTAGGCCGCGGGTAGCTTAGCAAGTAGCGATTGGGTCCTAAACACTCTCCTAGGTAGGACGCAGGATAGCTCGCGTTTCTTCAAGGAAGCTTCCCCCGCCCTCAGGCAGGGGGAGAAGAAGCTTGAGCCTTAATGATTTGGTTTCCTACAATGTTTTTGACAAAACCCTTTTGATGAGACAAACTCGTTTGCTCTCCTTCACTGGTGGTCAAAGCCAGGTTTAGCCTCTCCAACGCAGCAGGGCTCAAACGATGTTCTGGATGCCTCAGAGAAGTCTCAAAGGGTATGATTTCAGACTGCTCTCATGTGAATTGAGTTAAACAGTTCTTTGCTTCTTGTTACGGTCTCGGCATCTCGGAAACGTCAGCTCGAAACAGAATGATAACCAGAAGTAGCGACTTGCGAAGCTGTATTAACAAAAAAAGCTATACATTAACAACTTATTTTAAACATCCTTAGCATTTGTAAGAACCACTCAATTGTGCTAAGGAGCGCTTTCTGCGCAAATTCCAGCTCCATCTTTGTGGCCTTTGTGAGAATGCCCAAAAAGCCTCGCGAGACAGGCAAACAGGAAGACCGAACACAGGTTCGGAAACATTGGCGGATCCATGCAGATGTTAGTGACAGCATGCAACTCGCAGCTCAGAAAACTCAAAACAACTGCCTGCAAGGTTCAAGGGCTTCGAATTGCCCAAAGCATCTTTGAGCAAAGCAGCCAGGTCCTGCAATTTGAGAATTTTCGATTCTCAACTCTTCTCAGACTCTTCCATCTTCCTGTGATCGGGGACATGGCCCTCCTAGCACTTACAAGAACTCTTCTAGACAAACAGCGTTTTCAACCTATGCTTGGAAACACCTTATCAAGAACGCGTCACAAGAAACCAGAACGTTCATCATCTAAGAAAGCATTCGAAAACATGTAAGACATGCATGAAAACAAAAAACACAAAAACGCCTTGAATCTCTAGAGTAAACACGTGTGTGCTGTCATGCATGTGTTTTGCAAACATGTAGGCGCGGGCTTTCCCGCATCCGGAGCCTAGTAGTGCTACTTACTAGTAGCTACCTTCTTACTCCCTTAACAACCTCCTCCCCAGTAGCGCTACAAAAAGATGAACACAGCAAACACAAATTGCTGCCGTGCCAGTGCCTCCAACTTGGCCACTTTGTTCATGAAGACCTCCAAATCGTTCACTGAGATCGCGCCATCCTTGCCGCCATACGGGAAGCCACAGTGCCGCTTTCCCCCTCCGCCCTCTCCTGATCTCTGTCCAGGATCTTGAAAGTTCTCACACCCAAGTCGGTAGAGGCCACCTCCTTCGTTGGTTTGGCTCACTTCCGACACATTTTGTGGAATTCAGTCTTGAGACAAAGTGTGCAACACAACAAATCTGGTACCCGGCGGCCTGGAACCTACAGTTGGCACCTTTTGCCTTGGGGAAACCATTCCAATTGCGCGCCCAAAGCTATCCATTCCAATGGAGTGCATGGCATCTTTTTCGAGGCAAAGTCGGCTGTGTGATGGCAATTTATTTTTGTTGATCACACATATACACGAGGAGACATAGGTGTGGAGGAAGGGAACAATGGGAGACAACGGCTATCGATTAACTAGTTTTGCATATTTACATTGTGTATAGCTTTGCCGTCACTGCTTGCTTTTAATATCTGCATCACTCGAGCCATCCAGGAATTAAATAAGATAGTCAAGTACAGTGTATATATAAATCTGTATATCTAACACTATACAATACCATAGAGTTGAACAAAATACTACAACATCCTTAAGTGCCTGCTCCTCTTCCTAGTTGGTTCCTCTACCCTTTGTGATTCAGGTCTTCCTGTGTCGAACTAACCTGATTTGCACCAAATCTGGCTCTAACATGTTTACTTGCCGAACAACTCAGGAAATCAGGAGAAAAGAGCCACTTCAGAAAGAAACCGCACAATTCAGAATATGGAGGACAGGCCAAGGTTCTTGTATTGAGCACCTTCAGCGAAACATGACGACCTCGTTCAAAGTAGGCGAAGCTATGCAAAAGAAACGCTAGCCAAGAATGAAAGGGATGCTGAATATAGTTATAATTAGTTATATGCTATTTCAGCTAGTGGACTCTCTGTGTTGGGGTCATCCGTACATGTTGTCATTGATGTTGGAGTTGATGTCCTGAATTTTGCCCTATGTAAGTGTTGATGGTTTGCTTAATGTCTTGATTCTGCCTTTCCAGAACTCCACGGTTAGTTATCATAACATAACTCCACAACATCATTCACAACGTCAATTATCACATAACATAGCTCCACAACACCATTCACAACATGAGAAACCACATAATTAGTTTATACATAGTTTATTTTTGTACTGCCTTCCTGAACACAGAACGGCCTTAATTTATAGAGGCCAGTGGCTGATATAAGTTGTATATACACATGCATGCACACAACACACACGCACACATGACACATTGGAGTGCCTTTTTCAGGCTCTTCCTATGCACCCTGCTGCGTTTTGCGAGGGCTTTCCAAGGTTGTGCTTGCTTACCTCAAACGACAATGGGAGGATCTTCACGATCTACCACACAAATGGTTAGAGATCCATGCGAAGTTGCGTGTCCTCATGCCCTTTCTGCATGACCTGATTTTCATCCGGCAATTACAGTGGTTTCAGAGTAAATGGCACAAACCCATGTCCTGTACATGGGGTCCATATAAACCACCTTTTGGGGATTGTGCCATCTACTCAAATCTACTCTGAAACCACTGTAATGGGGTGCAAGTAGGCTACCAACTAGAGATGTTTCCTGTGTGTCAGATGTTTAAGTAAACCGTTTTCTGTCCTTTTGCCTATTTGAGAAAGACACAAAACGAAGGTGGGAAAAAAAAAGTCAAGGCAGAACAATCTTGGAAGCGAAGGAAGACATCGGCACAGCACGTTGGATGTTTGAAGAACACGTTGAAGAAATCCCAAAGAAAACAGCCAACTGTCAAGTTTGAGCCGTTGTAAATTTGCACAATTGATTGCTGGATTGTACAGCAAGTTTTAGCAGAATCTTCACTTTAGTGGTTTTCATATGTTTTCGCACACATTATGAACTACATATCATATATACATTTGGCATATAAGTTTTGGGAGTTGCACCTCCTGAGGTTTCAGGAAATGTAGGTCCGCAGGGAGGGAATAACCCTGGGTCCAAGAATACGCAGTAGTAAATTCTGAATTCTCGGAAAAATAACGAAATCTTGGGACTTGATTTGAATCAGGATCCTTTAACTCGTCGAAGAGCGATCCCGCTGTGACAATCCCCATACATACTATAGCCAACGGAGTCCCTCTCATGGCTGGCTCCCCTACATGCACCATCAAAACAACGTTTGAAACACCATAAATTGCTGACATCTTTTATGATCTTCATCCCTCCCCTTGTGTCCCCTTGCTCGTCCTGAGTGCCAACGGCAATCGCCAGGAACGTTGTGAAGTCCAAGACTCCGACACCGTCGATATCGGCCTTTCACCACAATGGAGAAACGCTGAAGAATGGAGACCTAGAAGCGTGGCCCTTTGTTACTAGTAGCTTCTTGCTCCTAGTGGTACTGCCAGGAGCCCCTAGTAGCGTCCTTGCTCCTAGTAGCGATGCCCTTTGTTGCTAGTAGCTTCTTGTTCCTAGTAGTAAGGCCGGGAGCCCCTAGCAGCGTCCTTGCTCCTAGTAGCGATGCCCTTTGTTACTAGTAGCCTCTTGTTCCTAGTAGTAAGGCCAGGAGCCCCTAGTAGCGTCCTTGCTCCTAGTAGCGATGCCCTTTGTTACTAGTAGCTTCTTGTTCCTAGTAGTAAGGCCAGGAGCCCCTAGTAGCATCCTTGCTCCTAGTAGCGATGCCCTTTGTTACTAGTAGCTTCTTGCTCCGAGTGGTACTGCCAGGAGCTACTAGTAGCGTCCTTGCTCCTAGTAGCGATGCCCTTTGTTACTAGTAGCTTCTTGCTCCGAGTGGTACTGCCAAGAGCTACTAGTAGCGTCCTTGCTCCTAGTACCGATGCCCTTTGTTACTAGTAGCTTCTTGTTCCTAGTAGTAAGGCCAGGAGCCCCTAGCAGCGTCCTTGCTCCTAGTAGCGATGCCCTTTGTTACTAGTAGCTTCTTGCTCCGAGTGGTACTGCCAGGAGCTACTAGTAGTGTCCTTGCTCCTAGTAGCGATGCCCTTGGTTACTAGTAGCTTCTTGCTCCGAGTGGTAATATCAGGAGCTAGTAGTAGCGTCCTTGCTCCTAGTAGCGATGCCCTTGTTACTAATGGCGATCAAAAAATGACAAATATGAAAGTCTAAGGGTTAAAAATTAGCCCAATAGCAAAATACAAACCGGGACAAAAAGAAAAATCTAGAAACAGCTGCTCTTTTCAACACATCGACCATCTCTTCCTTGGACACCATCATCACATAACCGGGACACCATCACAAAATGACCAGGGCACCATCAAAACATGACCGAGACACCATCAAAACATGACCGGGACACCGTCACAACATGACCGGGACACCATCATATGACTGGGACACAATCAAAACATGATCGGGACACCATCACAACATGACCGCGCCACCATCACATGATCGGGACACCATCAAAACATGACCGGGACACCGTCACAACACGACCGGGACACCATCAAAACATGACCGGGACACCATCACAACATGACCGGGACACCATCAAAACATGACCGGGACACCATCACAACATGACCGGGACACCATCAAAACATGACCGGGACACCATCAAAACAGGACCGGGACACCATCACAACATGACTGGGTCACAATCAAAACATGATCGGGACACCATCAAAACATGACCGGGACACCGTCGCAACACGACCGGGGCACCATCAAAACATGACCGGGACACCATCACAACATGACCGGGACACCATCAAAAAATGACCGGGACACCATCACAACAGGACCGGGACACCATCACAACATGACCGGGACACCATCAAAACAGGACCGGGACACCATCACAACATGAC